GTTTTGTGGTGAATGGTGTGCGGTGTGTGCGGTGTGTTTGGTTGTGTGCGGTGTGTTGTGTGCGGTGTGCTGTGTGCTGTGTGTTGTGTGCAGTGTTGTGTTGTGCGTGATGTGTTGTGTGTTGTGTGTTGTGCGAGGTGTGCTGTGTGTTGGGTGTTGTGTGTGGCGTGTTGTGGCGTGTGGTGTGTAGTGTGATGTGTGTTGTGTACTGCGTGATGTGCGTTGTGTGTTATGTGGTGTGTGTCATGCGTTGTGCGCTCAGTGTTGTGTGGTGTGTGTTGTGTGTTGTGTGCTGTGCGTTGTGTGTTGTGTGTTGGGTGTTGTGTGTTGCGCGCTGTGCGTTGTGTGGTGTGTGGTATGTGTTGCGTGGTGTGGTGCGTGAAGTGTGGTGTGCGTTGTGTGCTGTGTGCTGTGTGTTGTGTTGAGTGTGCTGTGTGTTGTGTGGTGTACTGTGTTGTTCTGTGCGCTGTATGTTTTGTGTTGTGCATTGTGTGTTGTGTGCTGTGCGAGGTCTTTTATGTAGTGTGTGGTGTGTGTGTTGTGCGTAGTGTGTTGTGTGTTGTGTGTGTTGGTGTTGTGGCGTGTGGTGCGCGATGTGTTGTGCATTGCGTGTTGTGTGTTGTGTGGTGCGTGTTGTGTGTTGTGTGGTGTGTGTTGTGCGTTGTGTGCAGTGTGTCGTGTGCGTTGTGTGCTGTATGTCGTGTGTTGTGTGTGCGCGTGTGTAAGTGTTTGTGTGTGCGTGTACGCGTGCGTGTGCGTGCGTGCGCGTGCCTTGTGCGTTGTGTGTTCTGTGTTGTGTTGTGTGGTGTTGTGTTGAGCGTTGTGTGGTGTGTGTTGTATGCTGTATGCTGTGTGTTGTGTTGTGTGTTGTGTGATGTGTTGTGTTTTGTGGTTTGTGGTGTGTGGTGTGTGGTGTGTGGTGTGCGGTGTGGGGTGTGTGCTGTGCGTTGTGCGTTGCGTGTTGTGTGCTGTTTGTTGTGTGCGGTGCGTTGTGCGTAGTGTTAAGTGATGTGTGGTGTGCGTTGCGTGTTGTGTGTAGTGTGTAGTGTGTAGTGTGTTGTGGTGTTGTAGTGAGTCGTGTGTGGTGTGCTGCGTGTTGCATGTTCTGTTTTGTGTGTGCTCTGTGTTGTGAGGTGTGTGTGTGTGTGTTGTGTGTTGTGCGTTGTGTGTTGTGTGTTATGTGTTGTGTGGTGTGTGTGGTGTTGTGTGTTGTGTGTTGTGTGTTGTGTAATGCGTGTTGTGTGTTGTGTGTTGTGTGTTGTGTTTGTGTGTGCGCGTGCGTGGGCGTGCGTGCGCGTGCATGTGTGTGTGTGTTTGTTTTGTTCGACGCGCGCGCTGAGCGGTCGTGGTACCGCGCGGCGGCGCCCAGGGGTGTAAGCTTTGCAGCCGCCCGGGGGGGAGGCCTCCTCGACGGCGGAAAATATGTTCATACCGTTCTTCGCCCCTAAATTGTTACCCATCGTTCTTGGACCGTCTTCGGCGGTCTTCTGGCGGTCTTCGGCTGTCTTTGACGGTTGCCAGCGGTCTTCAGAAGCTGGAGGGGTGCGTTCAACAAAAAATCAATGACCGAATACTTAACAGACATGCTGGCGTCGTGGACAAGCACGACGGCAAGTTTTGTGCTTTACGTTCAGACCCTGCGGGCCCCCGCCGGGCTCGAGCACCGTAAAGGACGACTCGGGACAAAAAGCTTGTCCCGGAGAGTGGGTCGAGGCCTCCGGGGGTCGACGCAGTAAAAACAGCATGGCGTCGGGGGCCTGGGGAGGTGACGCAGGGGAGAGGAGCGCTGGTCCGTCAGAGGGCGTGTGCAACGCCCAGTTGCCTGGAGCCGAAGGGCCCATTCCAGAAACCCTGACCCCACGAACGTCGCCATCACTTGAAAATAAATCCTTTCCTTCCGCTTGCTTCCGCCGGCCTTCCGCCAGCGGAGCCGCTGCCGATTTCCTTCCGCCAGTTTCCGCCGACCTTGCGCCACCTTCCACCGAGGAAGAGATGCCAACTTCTCGATCCCTCGAAAATCATGTCCGACCATCGATGACTCACACCGTGGATGAGCGACAACACCTAAGCATGGACAGAGCGAGCGGAGGGGTGGCACGGCAGGAGGGAGGATCGATCGATCAATCGACCGACGGCGTCTCGGAAGGGCGGAGGGTCACCTGGCCACACGACGGAAGCAAGCGGGCTAGGAAAGACGAACTGGAGCAGAGGAGGAGCGGGAAAGGGAGGAGAAAAAAGAAATGGGAGGAGGAGGAGGACGAGGAGGAGGAGAAGGAAGGGCATGAACATGAGCATGACGCATTAGGCAAGACGCACGAAGCAGGAAGCACGAACTTGAGGAGGACCAGGCGGACCGCACCGACGACGAGGAAGACGACGAGTTTCAGAAAGGCGAGAAGAGAAAAGAAGCATACTGGACAAACCACTGCCAACTTGTAATTGCTGCCTTCGCTTGGGCCCACCAGCAGCGGCACCAGAGGAGCCATACCAAGAAAGCAATTGAAGAAGTTCCGAATGCAAAGCGATTTAAACCACCAGGCGCGATACACAAACACAAACACAAACACAAACACAAACAAACACACACGCACACACACACACACACACACACACTCGCGCACACACACACACACAGCAAAACAGAAAACAAAACACCCACACATGCGTTAGGCGGTAGCGGCCTCGCGCGCAACGACAAAGCGGAGAAAGCGTCCACACAATGCGCGCGGCGGCCCCGCCTTCAAGCATCACTGAAGTTGCAGAGTTGCCAGCATCAAACATCCGCGCGTGGACAGCGGGAAGGGTACACGCAGTACCGTGGGCGGTACCCACACGGCAGCATGAGGTACGGAGGACTGCATCAGCCAAACGGGCGTGGACGGCAGGGGGGCGCGCAAACCGAGGGCCTGCCCAAACGGCGAGCGCAAAAGACCGCAGAAGCAAAGGCTCTCCGAAACCGAGCAAAGTGCAGCGCGCGACATAGGGCGACAACGAGGAAACGTGCAACGCACGGGGGGCAGAACAGGGGCTGGAGCCCGAGACGAGGGAGGGCGGCGAGGCGAAGCCCAACGCCGAGGCTGCCGCCCCCAGCCTCCAGAGAGGCGGGAGGCGGCACACACACGCATTTTGCAAGCCGGCGGCGCAGAGGAGCCTCGGGTTGGATTCCAACGTGGGTCTGTTACTATAGAAACGGTCATGCAACAAACGATGAACACACACACACACATTCTGCATATTTGCACATATGCGGTCTGACAAAGCGGGGCGGCATCAACGCGACGCCAAGGAGCATCATGGACTCGACCCTTTGGCCTGGAAGCGCGCGACGCGCGCGACTACCCAGATCATGGAGTTCTGCAACTGATCACTGTGTTCTGGGGGGTACGCGGACACTCAGCACACTGAGGCCCTCAGGCGCGGTCGGCACGTAGACGTGCCAATTGCCAACGGATTTCATCGAACGCGCCACGATGAAAGAATCCAGCCACGGCCCCGCAGATCGGTTGTGGAAAAGACAAGGCGCCGTAAGGCCAGGATGCAGCGGCCAGCGACCCCGCGGAGCGGAAGCTCAACGTAAGGAGCTGAAGCACAAAAGCAGTCTGGTGCAAATTCGCCAGAGAGGCGACGAAAGAACTGCAAGGCTGCCAGAGCACCCGGATTGGCGGCGACGCAAAGCGCGCAGCTGCGTGACAAGGCGACGCCACCGGCCTTGCAACGAGCGCGACAAAAGCGACGTGCAAATGCAAGAAGACGGCGTGAAGAAACACATGCGGCCGAAAAGCTGACAGAGCCTTGACCAAAAACAGACCTGAACCCGGGCGACCGCGAGCAGCAACCGCTTCACGCGGTGACGCACATGGGTGGTGGCCACCGCAGGTAAACCCGTGGGTTGTGGACAGGCGCGTGCGTGGCCAACGTGCAGTGCAGACGCCACCGTTACATAAGCAACCCCACCGCAGCTAAAGCCGCAAGGGCTATCATAGGTAGGTGGAGCCGAAACGACATATAGTCACCTAGGCACAGTAGAGACTGCACGCGTCACCTCAAGGTCGCACCACTCCGACCAAAGGCGGCAAAGCAATGAGAAGGACGTACAAAGCGAACCCACCAACGAGCTACGCCAACGATAAATGCCGGCGAACAAGCTGACACGGGCACGCACACACACACACATGCACACACACACACACACGTGTTCGACAATCTGGAAAGGCATGCGTGAATCACACATATTTGGAGGGGCGGGTCACAAGCGACACGGCGCTGGGGGAGAGGGGCAAGCAGTACTCACCACGACTATCTGTGCCAGGGGTGTCGAGGAGAGGGGGCGACAGACGAGGACGGGCCAGGGGGAAGGGATGGCACGAGGGATGAGGGCGAGGATGAGGGGGCGGGGTGGGGCGGCACGGTCGGGACTTTGTTTGGACGGCTCGCCACGGCGGCCCTGGCGACACGCCGTGCGCTGCGAGTGGCTGGCGTGTCGCTCCCCTCCGCCAGAGGCGGGCGACTCGGGGAAGGCTCGGGGCGCCGACGCCGGGGGGCCGCGAAGGGGACAGCCGCCGCACCGCGCCGGAGCGCGGCGGGCCGGAGCAGGCGGAGCGGCACGCGGTCCAAAGTTGACGGGGCCCCGGGGCACACAAACACATACTCCAGATTTCGTAATACAAGGGAGGGGGTCTGGACCCTCCAAGACAGGCCATTTCAGACCTCCCCCGTGGGAGAACCCTCCAAAACATCGTCCCCAGACCCCCCCCAGGCCCTCCAAGATAGCCTGGAAGAGACCCCCCCCCGAGATGAGACCCCCCTCCCTTTACTACGAAATCCGGAGTACACACAAATAACATGATTCCCCAGATTGTCCCATCTTTCCTGGGCTTCTGTCTTCCCCCCCGCTGCCCATGTTTTCCCATACGTTCTGGGGAATCGACGATGAGTTGTGTCCGTGTGTTTCTTCTCCTCCTGAGCGCAGTTCCCGACCGCAGGGAGGGCCCCCCGCCCGCCGCGGAGAAAAAGTACAGCAGCACCGCGTTGGGCACCTCTGGCGCCGAGCGGGGCTCGGGGGGGCTCGTCGGCCGGCGGCGGCCCCCCGGGAGGACGGCGCCGGCCCCTGCCACGCCGACCAGGCAGACGGAGAACGCCGGGCTGCCGCCGCCAGCTGTTCCTCTCTCGCTGCACCCCGTCCTGGACCACCTCGTGCTGCTTCAGCTCCGACCTCCGCCCCCGCCCCTCCTCCTGACCCTCGAGCCTGCACTTCCTCCTCTTCCTCCATCCTCTCCGCCTGCTCGTCACCGAGACTGCTTTCATCCCTTCTGCTCATCCCTTCCGCTATTCTTGATTTTCTCCGTTGCCCACTCCTCCCTACCCCGCTGGTCCTCCCCATTCGTCACGTCCCCATCGTCCTGTTCATTAAAAAAAACGCGATCTCGCTGCAGATGTCCCGATAAAGTGTGGCCATACGCCGTCAATTGAACAAGAGTTAGAAGGAGGGATGGCGTCTCTTGCACGTCATCAGGTTGCTTCCTGGCATTCCTTATAGAAAAAATGAAACAACCCTTCTTTAACCAAGGCTCTCGCCTGAATGCAAAGCCTTAAGGCGGGCATCTTTCAAGGGGTGCTTCCTGTAGTAGCAAAAAGCGTGAGGCATGATGACAGAGTGTTAGAGGGCTGGAGGATCATTACAGCATCGTGTACGCATCCTGCGATTACTTTGGTCTTACTAAACATCCTTTCCTCCTCGCTTTCCCCTCATTATGCTCCCCGATATTGTTCCAAAACGCCCGTTGCCGCCGATCCTGAGTAAGTTGGTACAGTTTCGCCTTAGCAGCATTCTCGCAGGATGGCGATACCAGGGGAAGTCGCAGAGTTCTTGAATGTTTATGGGATCGCCAAAGCATGCATCTCACGATTCGCACAGTAGTCACAGGCGAACCTGCACTGAGCGAGTGTCGATGCAACGCGCCGCTGACAATCAAATGGCCAATGGCGAGAATGACTGTGCGGGATTCCGTGCGAATGATGGTCTGCGACTGCGGAGGCGAGTAAAAGCATTGTCAGGTTGAGCGAGAACGAATGTGCGTGAAGCGGTCCTGCGGCCGACCTGGCCCCGACCCCTCGGGAATACACTGACCCGGGTCAATCCAAACCAGGGTCAGTCGGGCGTTGCAGGATCCGGCAAAGCCCCGCACAATCCTGCAGGATCCTGCACCCAAGCCCGGGTCAATGCTCGGGCCGGGCGAAAGGGGGGGATAGCAAAGGGGGGGTTTGGAGGTTCGAGCTTTGGGCTCGAGCCCTCCGGAGAGCGCGACCACCCCATGGGCCCCAGAGCTCCCCGACGTTGGTCGGCGAGTTGCTGGCAAGGGTCGAAGGGGCGGGGGCGGTGGCAGCCGGGGCAGCGGCGGAGGGGGGGGGGGGGGCGTTTTCTCCCTTTCGGCGCTGCTGCCTTTTGCTGGCAGGGTTCGGCGTTGCCCCCCCCCTTCCTCGCGGGGCGATTGAAAGGGGTGGGCGCGACTGGACTGCGAGCGAGCGCTGGCGCTGCGCTCGCCACGAGTGCGAATACCTGACCAGCTTTGGGCCCCCATGGGACCGAGACTGTCTGGAGGCTTTCAAAATAGGGGATCGCATCGTGACTCGTCGAAACGTAGTCGAGCGGCCCAGAGTTCACGTTGAAACGCGCGCCGCCGACTGACATGGCAAGTCGAGTGGCACCGAGCTTCTGGGGCCGGCCTGGCTTCCGAAAAGGCTCGGGAGACGCGCCCATATCTCTAGCAACTACCCAGGGGAGCTTGCAAGATTTGAAGAAAGCCCCCCGTGGAGGAAAGAGTGGCAGTATCTTTCAAACAAAGCACTTTACCCCTTCGAAATAAAGACGCACCACGGTTGCATTGCCCCTTTGAGATGCCGACTGACGGGCATCCAGTTACAAGGGCTAGTAGCGCGACAAATATCTACAACATGTTGCTTGGCTGTGGCCTGCGAGACTGCTCGGGGCTGGGTACGCCCACGGAGGCATGCGGATTGGCGTCGGCCGCGGATCGCCGAACCCACTCCCGCCCGCGAACACTCCTTCGAGGTCTCGATCGGTCGCGCGGTCGAGAATGTAGCCTTGAGGCCCTGGCCCCGCAGCTCCTTCTCGAATGGCTATAGGCCCTCGTAGCGGATGCGTGTCTCCTGCAGCAAAGATGCGGCGTTCGAGTCTGTGAGCAGCGACGCCATGTCAAACGCACTGCCAGTATTTTCCCTGGCGCAAGAATAAAGAATTGCCATCGAAGACTCTCACGGACAAACGCATCCCGGCATCGGCAACACCGTCTCGCCCAGGACCCCGAGCCCGTCATCGGGCAGAGGTAGGGGCACCCACCCCCGTCGCAACGGGAGGCGGTGCTGCCTTGCCCCCCGCCTGCCGGAGGATCCTCTGCCCGGCGGCCCCCTTCGCAGCAGCATCTCTGGGTGCCTTGGCTGCCTTCTTCTGGTCCGCCTTCGGCGGCGGCGGCTGCGGTGGCTGCCGGTCCGCAAGATGGCGCCGCGGCCTCGTGCAGCGGCGGTTCGGCCAAGGCCCCCTTGTCCTGGCGTCTCCTCTTGGTCGCCTGGGTCTGCTCCTGCTCCGCGGGCTGCGCCTCAGCCTTCGCTTCCTCCGGGTGCGGGCGCAGCTGGATGGCAAAACCTGGGGTGCGCGCGTGAAGCTCTTGCATCCTGGCGGCCTTGGCTTTGGCTGCCTCGACCGCCGGCTCATCAAGTTCCCCCTCGTCAAACCTCAGCGTCGCGTCTACGTCCGCGAGCTGCTCTGGGTCCAGTGCGGCAGCTGGCATGAGGAGGACATCGCGCAACAGGTTCGCCATGGGGCCTCCTCTCGGCCTGGATGGCGGCAACGGACTGCTCCGCCTCGACGGCGGGCTGGGCCCTCTGCGGCGCCGACTGCTCGAGCTCCGCGAGCTTCGCCTGGGCCTCATCACGCTTGGCGCAGGTGGCGTCGCACTCCTGGATGGCTGCCTCCGGCCTCTGAGCGGCCTCCGCCAGCCTCGTGGCCGTGCTCATGGCTGGTTCGGCTAAAGAGCTTGCCCAGGACACCTCCGTAACCCCCTGGGACAACTCCTGTTTGACCCCGGGGCTCAGCTGCATCGTGCTGAAGTGGGCGGGCACGCTCCCCAGCGCCTTCGTGAAGCCTGCCGCCCAGGGTGTCTGGCGCTTCGCCTTGGCGCCCCTGGGGCCCTTTGCGCGAGAACGGGGTGCCGCACCTGCAGCGGCAGTCTGCCGCCCCCAGGGTTCCTGTCCCACTCCCAGCTGCACCACCTCCTGCACCGCGACCAGGTCTGCGCAGTCTGGCCCATCTGCGCGACGAGATGGTGGGAGGAGGAGGAGGAAGAGGAGGAGGAGGAGGAGGAGGAGGAGGAGAAGGAGGAGAAGGAGGAGGAGGAGGGAGAGGGGGAGGAGGAGGAGGAGGAGGAGGAGGAGGAGGAGGAGGAGGAGGAGGGAGGAGGGAGGAGGATGGAGGAGGGAGGAGGAGGAGAGGAGGAGGAGGAGGATTGGAGGAGGGAGGAGGGGAGGAGGAGGAGGGGGAGGGAGGGAGGGGAGGGAGGGAGGGAGGGAGGAGGAGGAGGAGGAGGAGGAGGAGGAGGAGGAGGAGGTCCCGTGGCGGGTCGCACCACGCCTGCGGGGCCTGGCGGCCCGGCCCTCGACGGCGGCCCCCGCGGCCTGGACGCTAGGCCCTGGCCTGCTCGGCCCTGCCCTCGCGGGCGGTGCGCTGCCGCGCCCTCCTCGGGCGCGGCGCGGCGCGGCGGCCTCCGAGAGCCGCCTGGGCACGCCGGGGGCCCTCGGGCCCGGCGCGCGCCACGAGCTCCGCCAGCGCTGCGGCGGGAGAGTGGCACGACGCCTGGGCTCAGGTCGGGCCTGGAGGGACCTTGGACGGGAAATGAAGCATACTCCACAGACACCCCAAAATGCCAAAATGGTCACAAACATATTCCGAACATCGTATCGTCCCCAGCCTATTTAAAAAACTCTTTGAATACGGCCCCCTGTAGAAGGACAGGCCCCTCTGAAGCCTAGGCAGGAGGGAGAGAGAGAGAGGGGGCCCCTCTCGCTCGACGACGGCTTGGCGCACGGCGTGTTCGGTGCCGTTCTGACTGCCAGGAGCAGTGGCCGCCGCGGCCTGGCGACCGGGCCCGTGCAACACCAGCGGCGGAGAGAGGCGGGAGGGAGGGAGGGAGGGAGAGCCCGGAGAGAGGGAGGGGGGGGGAGGGAGGAGGGAGGAGGAGGGGGAGGGAGGGAGGGAGGGGGAGAGAGGAGGGAGGGGGGAGGAAGGGGGGGGGAGGAGGGCCCGGCGGGCGCCGCCACGGACAGGAAGATCAGCACCACGCCGAGAGGCATCGCCTCGGGGCGCGGCCGCGCGCGCGAGGCCGCCTCTCCGAGCGCGCCGCCGCGCGAGGGGCGCAGGCCTCGCAGGACAGCTGCGACGCCTCCACCACTTCTCCTCCCGCCGCTCCTCCTCCGCCTCCTCCTCCTCCTCCTCCTCTCCTCTCTCTCCTCATCCTCCTCCTACTCCTCCTGCCCTCCGCCTTCCTTCCTCCTCCTCCCTCCTCCTCCCCTCCTCCTCCTCCTCCTCCCTCCTCCTCCTCCTCCTCCTCCTCCCTCCTCCGCCCTCCGCTTCCTCCTCTCCTCCCCTCCTCCTCCTCCTCCTTCCTCCTCCTCCTCCTCGCCGCCGTCCTCCTCCTCCTTCTCCTCCTCCGCCCTCCTCCTTCCCTCCTCTCCTCTCCTCCTCCTCCTCTCCGCCTCCTCCTCCTCTCCCCTCCCCGCCCTCCTCCTCCGCCTCCTCCTCTCCTCCTCCTCCTCCTCCTCCTCCTCCTCCTCCTCCTCCTCCTCCTCCTCCTCCTCCTCCTCCTCCTCCTCCTCCTCCGCCTCCCCCCGCCTCCTCCTCCTCCTCCTCCTCCGCCCACCTCCATCCTCCTCCTCCTCCCCTTCCTCCTCCTCCTCCTGGCCGCCGCCGCCGCCGCCCGCCCGCCGTCCTCCTCATCGTCCCCCTGCGCCCTCCTTCATTCATCCCTCCCTCCTCCTCCTCCTCCTGCCCTCCTCCTCCGCCTCCTCCTCTTCCTCCTCCTTTCCCACCTCCTCCTCCTCATCATCCTCCTCTGCTCCTCCTTGTCCGCCTTCTCCTCCGCCTCCTCCTCCTCCACCCTCTTGCCCGTAAAAATTATCCAGCCACTCCAGTTCCAACATAACCTACGCCCTAGACGTCTCTATTCCGCCTTGGGCCGGCGGAACGGTGCAGGCCACTTGAAGAGCAGAGACTTCATGACACAACTGTGACGCCTCCATCATGCATCGGGCGCACGCTAACATGGATTACGGAACCGTTGATATGTTCCTTAGACACGGGTTCGGTGCTGTTTTTTTTTGTGTGGCGCGGTGCGAAAGAGATCGCTCGGTGGAAATGGCCCCGTGGAATATTGAATGACATTGCGGTGCTAAGACATCGCTGGCTTCCTCGGGTTACGGATTCGTTGACCTGGCGTGCGGGCGCCAGGTTCACGAATTCGGGAAGTACCCCTCGAAGACGCGAGGTCAGTGGCGCCTGCTCTGGCGACGGCGCGCGCCGCTTCCGTACGAAGACGGGGCCCGTCGCCAATCCACGCGCCTCAGTCCACGCACGCGCGACCTCGAATGTGAGGGGGGCGCCTCGTGGAGTGTCGCGAGCAAATGCGTAGGGGAGTCTGCCAAGAGAGGCTGCAGAGGGGGGGGGTTGGAGATGAGAGTCGTGCCGTGTCGAACGAAGGCGATCTGGGCGATGCAGCTCCATGCCGAAACTCTCAACGAATTCACACTGCAACCTTGCGTCCCTGCTACTTACATGACAGAAAACGGAAGAGGAGCAGAAGCAAGTGAAAGCGGGGGAGCATGCACGATATGGAGAAGGACAGGAGGTGGGGGGAGGAGAGGAGGTACGAGGCGAAGGCCACGACGAGGAGCTGCAGTTGGGGGAGCACTCTGGCTCTCCCCCGTTGGGCTTCGCCCAAGGGGCCTCTACTTGTTGCAGAGGCCCCGTTGGCAAAGGTCGCTTCTTCATCGTGCAGATTGCTCCGGAGGCATTGTGAAGTCCCTCGAAGTATCCAGAGGTACCCCAAGGCCCAAATAGGGTAAGAGACATCCAAAACCATGTGTTTGATCCTGCTCCTCCTCCTCCTTCTCCTCCTCCTCTTCCTCCTCCTCCTCTTCCTCCTCCATTCCTCCTCCTTATGAGAAAACTCCGCCACTCTCGCATCCTGCGTCCAGTCAGAAGGGCGTGCTGCGCGCTTTGCCTGAGACGCCCTTACCATCCATGCTCCTGAGGCTCTTAACAAAAAGGGGCAACCAGCTCACACGTAGAGGGCGGGGCGGCTTTGCAACTGTGGCCCTCGCCCTGGCGCCGCGCGCCCTCGTCGCTTCACGGATGGAGGGCGGGCCGCCTCAGCCCCGCGCACATTCGCCTCAGCCCCAGCTTCGCGGATACAGCTGCTAAAGGCTCCTCCCCCCTTGGGAAGGGAAATTGGCCGTTGCTAGCCCTCCGGACTAGAGCCCCGCGGCGCATTCGCTCCACCAGTGCACGGAGCACCGCGGCTCGGGGCCAGCTCCTTCTCAAAGATGCGGTCCTCTCGCCTCCGCGCCGCGAAAGCCCTCGCCTCAAGCATTTTTCCAGGAGCTTCGCGGGCGGAGAGCGGGTCCTCTTCAACGCGTGGCTCTCTCCTTGGCGCCGCGCAGACGTGGATCGAGGGATCGAGGAGCTTCATGGGTCGTGGATCGAGGAGCTCGAAAAAGTACAGGAGCTTCATGGATCGAGGGATCGAGGGATCGAGGGATCGTTGGCGCCACGCAGACATGGATCGAGGGATCGAGGGATCGAGGAGCTTGAAACAGTACAGGAGCTTCATGGATCGAGGGCGGCTGCTTTTCAAAATGTGTTTCTCGCCGTCGCGCCGCGCAGATCCGTCGCAAGCATTCGCAGGAGTTGCACGGGTGGAAGGCGAGTACTTCTCAACGTGTGGCTCTTGCCTTGGCACCGCGCACACTCGTCTTAGAAATGTGCAACTGTTTAACAGATGGAAAGAGAGTCGTTTCCAAATGTAGCCCTCGTCATAGCCCCGCGCGAATTCGTTTTACAAAAACGCAAGAGCCCACAGGATTGAGGGCGGTTCCTTTTCAAAAATGTGGCTCTCGCCTTCGCGGTCCCATCGTCTTGGCTACTGAGATCGTTTCTGCATGTATTCTGCCACGCCTGTGGCAAGACTGCCACGATCGACGGCCGCCAACTTGCAGGCGAATGCTTGCCCCCAAGCAAGAAGGGGCGTGAGAATCTCGCCCGGATTGCACAAGGCAAGTTCCCGAGTTACGCGGGGCCTCCCAAGACGGTCCAGGCGGTGGCTTTTGAGCGAGAGAGAGCGGTGCGAAATGTGGCTCTCGCCCTGGCGCCGCGCACACTCGTCTTAAACATGTGCAACAGTTTAACGGATGGAGGGCGGGTCGTTTTAAAAAAATCGCTCTCGCCTTAGCCCCGCGCGAATTCGTTTTACAAAAACGCAAGAGCCCACCGGATTGAGGGCGGTTCCTTTTCAAACTGTGGCTCTCGCCTTAACGCCGCGCACAGCCGTCTTTAATCCGCAAAGGGATTCACGGATTCCCATGGTTCGCCCACGAGAAATTGCGTATTGAACATATTCTGGATTGCCAGGACGCAACAATTATATTGATCCGTGGTGCTAAAATCACAGACATGATGTTCTGGCGCGATTCGGGAACGTCAATACGACACAAACAACGTTGTTCGTGGCGTTGGGGTCCAAAGAAAGGTGTGTTGGCACGCTTCAAGATGTTCAAAAGGTGATCTCCCGATGGGGCACGTCCCTCAATGCAAATGAATCCTTGTATTGGCCTACGAAGATGGAGTTCGGAGGGAGGGTGCATTCAAACACCGTTGGCGAGTCTTGGGTTTGCACTGGTCCTCTCCTCCTCCTGCTCCTGCTCCTGCTCCTGCTCCTCCTCCTCCTCCTCCTCCTCCTCCTCTCCTTTCGTCTCAAAGGACTTCAATGCCTGTCCGCTGAAAGGGTGTAAGCCCCATTGTCTCGGGCAAGAGAAACGTTCAGTTGCTCGGATTTCGAGGACCTTTCGGTCGGGAGGTCATTCGTTCTACGAGCTCTTCCTGAGACGCTGTCTTGCCCGACCTCCTCCTCATCGTCCTTCTCTTTTCTTCAGCATGCCATCGGCCAAGCCCATAGCGTCTGCTCCTGTTCCTCCTCCTCCTCCTCGACCTCCTCCTCCTCCTTTTCTCCTCCTCCTCCTCCTCCTCCCTCCCTCCCTCCTCCCTCCTCCTCCTCCTCCTCCTCCTCCTCCTCCTCCTCCTCCTCTTTACCCTCCCCCTCCATAAATTCCTGCACGGGAGTGGGCGTCGCCATCAGCGGAGGCGGATCTCCTTTTGAGGTACCCGTGGCCGACGCCATGGCTTGGCAGAGCCGGGCGCGCTGGGCGGCGCCCCCGCTGAGAGGACGGCAAGGGGAGGAGGAGGAGGAGGAGGAGGCGGAGGAGGAGGAGGCGGAGGAGGAGGAGGAGGAGAGGGAGGAGGCGGAGGAGGAGGAGGAGGAGGAGGAGGAGGAGGAGGCGGAGGAGGGGGAGGGAGAGAACTGAACGCCTCCGGCACACGAGAAGGGGACAGGGGGCAACTCGCGAGCGGCGAACCCCTCCGCGTCCGCTCCCTCCCGGCCCGGACTCGGGGGCGCGATGCCGCGGCTACACGGGCCGCACGGATACCTTCCGTGCGGGGCATCCGCGGAGAAACGCCACGCCTCCGCGGGGTCGCGGCCCACGGGCCTCTTCCAGCGACGCCGCGGATACGGAGATGTGTGTTTCGCCGACGACAAGGGCAGGGAGAGAACCAACTCTTCTGGCATCAAGGAAAGGGGTGAGGAGGCACCTCCTGAGAACTCTTCGTGGGGCCGACGAAGGGCTATGAAGCCGGATTACGGTGCCATTCAGCCGCATGTGCCTGGATTTCACCTAGGACTAAGTCCAGTTCAGCCCCGCCAGGCGGGATTAAGCCAGATTGCGCGCGGAATGCTTCTAGAGGCCGGTTTTCGACCACGGATCTACCAGCGCCGAGGCTGAATGTGACCCCCCAGGAGTTGCATCCTAAACGAAGAGGCGGGGAAAGGATCCTCAAATTGTTCGCCGCATTCGGCCTCTCAGGCCCCCCAGATTGTCAACAGAGATACCCATCACACAAAAGGCGGTACCAGCAAAAAAGTGCGTAACAGCCACACACTCCCCAGCCATGACGTAAGCTACATGCAAACACACTTGTGAAGTGTACTCCGTACTAGTTGTTTTCAGAGGTGTTCTGACTAACATGTTGGAGTATGCCCTCCCCCCAGAGTAGTAGTCAGCAGTAGTAGCATTACGTACAGCAGTTGGCATGGAGCGAGCGCTGACGCAGCTCGAGCTCGAGGGGCCTCCCGACGGGCGCAGAGGGCGATTCCGAGGGAGAGAGTGCCGAGGAGAAGCCGGCAGGGATCCCACACCTCCAGCCGAGCGCGAGCGAGGACTCGAGAGCTTTGACCGATCGACACCGGCCGCTGGAGCGACCAGGCCCACGGGCGCCTCCCGCAACCCGCGGGACCGCCTCCGGCGGGGGGGGGGGGCAGAGGAGCGGCCGCAGCCTCGCACGCCCAGGGGGGCGGCGGCCAGGCTCCCGCGTGACCTCCGACGCGGCTCGATCGGTGGCTCGCCGGGCCTGCGACGATGGAAGCAGCTCGGTAGGGTCGTCGCTTGCAGGAATAATGAAGGGGCCCCAGGACACACAAATAAATACACACAATTAAACATAGATTCCCCATATTCTCTCATATTTCCTGGGTTTTTGTTTTCCCCCCCACTTCCCCCATATTTTCTGGAGATCGACGACTCATTGTGTCTGTGTGTTTTTTCCCTCCTGAAATGAGCGGGCCTGCTGGGATGGTGACGGGAACTGGCTTTGGGCTATGCCAGCAGCCACGCCGGCAGCCTCTCCCGCTGCGCGGCCTGCGCCTTTGGAGGGGTTGGCGGCGGAGCAGGAGGCGCAGCCGGCGCCGCCCGCGCCTGCGGCGGAGGGCCTGCGAGCGCGGTGCTGCAGCACCAATTGGGCTCGCGGAGTAGGAGCGGCAAGGGCACCTGTCGGCGGTGGGCAAGCCTCCCTTTGGTAGACCTCCCCTTAACGAAAACGGCCTGGAACCGAAACCGACGGACCCGGACCTGCAAAAGTGACGGCCGCGACGCTCTCTCGCGAACCGGAAACGGCCAATTCCTTAATCGACGTGTCAGGGTAGGAGGTCTGTCCACCCCCGAAAATGGGGCGCCGTCCGCGGGCAGTTGGATGCCACCCGCGCCCCTGTCGGCTGCATCGTTGACACTGACCTCGACGAGGCACGCGCCCAGAGATTCGGAAGGATTGTCACTTCAATTTGTCCATCTTGCCTTACTGTATCCGCGCCCTCGGATGGCCGCCGGGGCGGGGTGGCTTTGTTTGGGCCTGATGAGTTGCGTGAGGATCCGTGGCGGTGGTCCTCTGACTTTCAGGGTGGTCTCAGGAGTCTTGCACGCGAACGCCTCCGACATGATCATCATCGGCACGGGCATGGACGTCAAGAACCCGCACGCTCGCAGGCAGCTTGCGGACGCCATCACGGTCCGAGTGGCCGCCTCCGGCTTGCCCGCCCTGGTGGTCGGAGATTGCAACGCGGAGCCGTGCGACGGTGAGCTCTCGCCGTGGCTTGGCCTCCTGGAGTACGCGCACGAGCAGGCCCAGCCTCCTGTGTACTCCCACACCCACGGAGACAGGATGATCGACCTGGCCCTCGTCAGATATTTCGTCGTGGAGTCCGTCGCGCCGGTCAGCGACCATGCCGCGGTGGTGGTGCAGGTTCAGCTCGAACCCAAGGCCGTCGTGCAGACGATCCGCAGGAACCGCGCCCTGGAGATCCCGGACGACTGGGAGAAGGAATGGCGATCCGCGCGCCGTACTTCATGCAACAGCCTGGGAACAGGCACATCGAGAAGATGACGTCGACCAGCTGTGGGCGATATTGTGTGACTGCCTGGAGGCCTCTTGCGGGGTCCCAGAAGAACAGCGTACCCGGCGCTTTGGCACTGTGCTCAAGAAGTGGCAGAGGACGTTCCGGGGCGCCCAAGGGCACCGGATGTGTGTCGTGGAGCGACGGCTGCACCGGCTGGTGCGACGCATCACCGAGCAGCAGTTCAAGGACGAAGCTGGCCAGGACCATCCCGACCTCGTCCGGAGCATTGAGCGGAGCGCCTAGAGCCTCATCGCCGACGGGGTGCTGCAACAGGGCCCCGACCTCCTCGACTACCCGGCGCTTCAGGACACCCTGAAGGGGCCCAAGGGGCCCCCAACATCGCCCCAAGAGCGCCCAAGAGGCCTCCAAGATGGCCCCATGACAGCCCAAGAGGCCCCCAAGATGGCCCCAAGAAGGCCCCAAGACGATACAAGAGGCCCCAAAGACGCCCAAGATAGCCTCCAAGACGCCAAAGATAACCTCCAAGATGCCTCCAAGACGCCCAAGATGGCCGTCAAGACGGCTAAGATGGCCCGAAGATGCACCCAAGACGGCCCAAGATGGCCTCAAGATGGCCTAAGACGGCCCTATAGGCCCGCAAGAGGCCTCCAAGATGGCCCAAAAGCCCTCCAAGACGTCCTCCAGGAAGGCCCGAAACGGCCATCATCATTGAATTGGGGTCCGATAGCTCGCCCGACTCCGTGTTCCCCGAAGGCTTTCGAAATCCACTCGGGGAACGCGTGGCCCGAGAGCTTGGCCAAGCTCAAACCGAACTTTCGGCCACGCAGGCGCTTCCAAGAAGGCAAGGGGCGGCGGTGATTCGCCGTAGGCATTTTCGATAACGCCAACGTCTCAGTATGCGCTGATGATTCTTATCCGCCCCCGCATGATGTTCCCGGATGCGCCAAGGCAGCGCCGAGACGCACCGACGAGAATCTGATATATCCCAGTCTGATATAGAGGGGGCCGGCGGCAGGCGGCGAAGCCCCTACGGACAAAAAAGATGTGAGGAAATATCAGGAGGGAGCCGCTGTTGTTGTAAACCAGGGGCCAACGACACAATTCTGAGACACAAGACGTTCATTGATAAAAGAACAGGGTGCCAGCCCCGGGAAGGGCACTTCAATTGAGCAAGCACCATGTGCCCCCGAGGAGGGGATCACAAAAATTACGTTACGTCCCGAGGAACCCCACATACTTATATTATGGCTGGAGTAATGATAGCTGAAGATGTTGGTGGCCGTTGCCCCGCCGATGCCGTTGGTGACGCCACTCAAAAGGAGAGGTGGAAGAGGAGAAGCGCCGCGCCAGCCACCCTTTGCGAGCCCGAAACAGATAGCGACCGCACCCCCAAGGCACCCCCTTCGCACCCCGTCTGGCGTCGAGAAAGCGCCACGCTTGCTATGCCCTGGACGACCGTCGTGCATAGTGGCCGCGGTGAGGGACAAACCCCTGCGCACCCTCTATGGTGTCGAGAAAGTGCCACGCCTGATATGCCCTGGACGACCGTCGTGCATAGCGGCCGCGGTGAGGGACCACCCCCATGCGCTCCCCCTATGGTGTCGAGAAAATGCCACGCATGCTATGCCCTGGACGACCGTCGTGCATAGCGGCCGTGGTGAGGGACCACCCCCTGCGCACCACCCATGGAGCCGAGAAAGTGCCACGCCAGCTATGCCCTGGACGACCGGCGCGCATAGTGGCCACGGTGAGTGACCACCCCCTGCGCATCCCTCATGGTGTCCAGAAAATGCCACGCCTGCTATGCACTGGACGACCGTTGTGCATAGCGGTTGTGCTGAGGGACCACCCCCTGCGCACCCCCTATGGTGTCGAGGAAGTGCCACGCCTGCTATGCTTTGGACGATCGTCGTGCATAGTGGTCGTGGGGAGGGACCACCCCCTGCGCACTTGTCATGGTGTCGAAAAAATGCCACGCCTGCTATGCCCTGGACGATTGTCGTGCATAGCGGCCGCGGTGAGGGACCACCCCTTACGCACCCCCTATGGTGTCGAGAAAGTGCCACGCCTGCTGTGCCCTGGACGACCGGCGCCACTTCCTGCGCACCACCTACGGTGTCGAGAAAGTGCCACTCACTCCTGCCTTGCCCTGGACGACCGACTCGGATAGCGGCCGCGCTCAGGGACCACCCCCTGCGCACCTCCTATGGTGTCGGGAAAGTGCCACTCCTGCTTTGCCCTGGACAACCGACTCGGATAGCGGCCGCACTCAGGGACCACCCCCTGCGCACCTCCTATGGTGTCGGGAAGGTGCCACTCCTGCTTTGCCCTGGACAACCAGCTCGGATAGCGGCCGCGCTCAGGGACCACCTCCTTCGCACCGCCTACGGTGTCGACGAAGTGCCACTCCTGATATGCCCTGGACGACCGGTTCG